AAAATACTTGAGAACCGCAGTGAAATGAGACTGTTCTGCGGTGCAGGGCAGTCGGGGTCGCCCGATTGTTTGACCCACTGCGGCCGCGGTAGCTGTTTAGTACCGCAGCTCTATTGGCGCTGTTGATGACCTAGATTGATAGTATTACTCAGTATGCTAGTCAGTGGCCACGTGGCTCGTGCCCCCTGGGGCTTCCTGAAGTAATACAGTCTTGGATTTGCCTTAAGAGAAGGTAACTTTGCGGTCGGAAGCCGTGAAGGACGAACATAGAATTCTTTAGTTGTTCTCAGCTTTTATCTGCATCAAGGCCTCGGAGATGCCTCGAGAAGATTCGCCCGACGGCGACTACTCGACAAGAGGCGACGAGCGTTCGCTGTCGCGGAACCGCCACGACCAGCCGCGTGGGCGCCGTCAGGAGCGCCGCAACATGGTGAATCCCTTTCGTTCTCCGAGATGACGGCAGCCTCGTCCAGTTGACGAGTGGCAGCCTGCGCGCAGCGGGTACGCGCTTACCTCGGCGCAGACCGACGGACCAGCTGCGATGCCATCCGTCGAAGACTCCGCTGCGACAGCTGCGGCCGATGGAGCGGCTGCTGCAGCGAAGGCGGACGCTAATACCGTGGGTAGAAGCGACCCGCCCATGGACGACGTTGACATGGGCAGCGACCACGGCTATGGCCGTGGACAAGTGTGGAACGCTCCGGCCATCCCACAACCTCCGACTTTCAAGGGATCGACGAAGTCGGAGCGGCGCGTTTTTATGCGCGAGTACCAAAAGTACTTGGCGCAGATGAATGCGCTCCAATGCACGGGATCGCGTCCGTTTGCGATGCCGGTTGGTGCTTGCATGGATCCGTTCTCGAAGCGGCGGATCGACATGTTTGACCTGAACAAGGGTCACAACCTTGTCACGGAAGCTGAGTGGATCGCGTGGTTTCACGCGGCGTTCGAAGAAGATCCGCAAGATCTCGACGTCCCAAAGAAGCATCTGTCAGCCGCCATTTGGTTCGACGCTGAGTCTAGAGTCGGTCGTATGCTGGACGACCTTATGCGTGTGCTGGAGCAAGACCACCAGGAGTGGGTGCTCCACCAGGAAGGCAAGATGGTTGTCGAGGTGATGGCGCGTGCCATCCGACCGGATACGTTGAAGAGCGCTGTCCAGAAGCAGCTGCAGCTCCAACGAAACAAGGCCCTGAAGAGCGACGTATGTCGCTTTGTAAACTTGCTCTGGCAGTTCTCTGCCGGCTTCCAGCTTTACGTGGGGCTAGAAGAAGCTTCGCTGCCCCACCGAAGTCGGACACCACGGACAAGGGCGGCCGTGGCAAAGGAAAGTGGCGACGGCCCCAAGGAAGGCGGCGGGAAGAATCCTCCGAAAATACCGCTGGCGGCGAAACCTGATGTAGCGGGCGACAAAGATGATGCGGCGCCAAAGAAGGGGCGTGGCGCGTGTTTGAAGTGCGGCGACAAGGATCACCGCGTGGCGGATTGTCCCAAGGCTCGTGTGAAGCGTCTGCTAGATGCGATGGTGAAGAATCGCCAAGAACGGCACGGGAGCTGACGTGAACGTCGTTTCGCGCGGCGTTATGGATGCGTTGGCAGCGTGCGACGTCGCTGTGGACATCGCGGTACACGACAAGCCGCAGCTTGATTCCCTTATGGCGAGACAGCTGCGCCGCTGACGATGTAGCGGCTTGCCACGTTTGGCAAGCTAACTGTCCACACGACGTGCGGCCCGCGCAGGACCAGCGGGCTGAAGGCTTGGGTTGACGACACGGCCTCGTCAATCGACGTTATTATCAGCTGCCCAGTCATGGAGGTTCTCGGGTTCTCCGTGGACGACTTGCTCGTCGAAGCGCGACAGCAGAAGGGGGAAGTGGACCGTCTCCGACGGCGTCGACATCCCTGCCTCCAACATGGCGCGGGTGACGCTCCTGATGGCTGATAGACGGAATCCAACTGATCCCTGCCTCGAAGAGAGCGATGGCATGCAGTGTGCTACGCCTGAAGTCGTGGACCCGAAGATTATCGGGGCAAGCGAAGAATCTCGTCGCAAGACGCGCAACAGTG